TAATAGTCTTCCACTTGATCTGAAATGGTGGGGAACACTTCGGGGGCGGGGGAGAGAAATGATAACACTACTTGGTGATCCTTGAGTCAGAAAAAGTGGAAAGTGGCTTTCAGGAGACATGAGGCTTTAAAAATGTCCTTAGAAAATAAAGCACCATTTATGTGCCACATAAATATTGTCACTCCTTCTTTTTAATAGTCTGATAATTCATGGCACTTAGATTATACTGAGGACAAAATTTAACTTTCAGCGTTCGGTGATGTGCTTAAGTATACTGTGTACTATACATAGATGAACAGCAGAGCTTTTCCCACAGATGAGCATAGGAATGTTTGTGAACACATTGGTGGAGGTACAGGTAGAGCTTATTCTAGGTTTGAGGGGCAAAGTGCCAACCATCCATGCCTTGCTCCCTACTCCTGTATACCAGCCCATTCCTCCCCCCCCCTTTGCTTCAAGCTGGTCCCTACACCCCTGTCATGGAGGTACATGGCACTGGTGGGTGGATAATATGGAGGAAGAGTGCCACTGCTCTGTTGCTCCACCTAGGCTTTGCCATGACACACCTATTTTTCCCCTCAGTCCCAGTCTTCTATCAAGAACAAGGAATTATTTTAATTATCATGATGATGATTTTAAAGGAACTGGCCAGAGAACACAGAATTGTACAGGTGGCAGTGCTTTTAGTAGGTGTCTACCAATACTGCTTTTCTGCTTTTCTGCCATTTATTTCTTCCAAGATAAACATAGGAAGTGTATGCCAAGGATGATGCCCAGAGGCACTGAGAAAAAAGAGAGTAGTTGGCATATGGCATCAGCGGTAGCTTCCTTACCCAGTAGTTATGTATTGCACTGGATGGATTTGTTTGCACAAAAATTAAGGAGGTGGTGATGGTGGGAAACACCTATGACATCTGTATCTTTTCAAGTGTTTATTACTGTTTATATTTAAAGATTTGAAAGCTGGGTACAACAGTAATAAAATATACAAATGAAACAATACATAAAGTCAATGGATATTACTTTTAGTACCTATAACAGTAAAATATATACAGTAGTAAGGTGAACTCCATCAGAAGAGTTTGCAAATATAAATATGCCTTAAACATATGCTTAAATTAAAGTTGTGGGATATCTAATACCAGACTGAGATCTATCCATTTTCCATATGCAAATTCGGCCCCTGCACTTATTTATAGAGTGCACTCCTAATCCCTCTTTTTTCCCCTACCAACCTGAATTTACTGAGGTTTCTCATATGTTCTTTTTATATATCATTCTCTTATATTCCAGTCTTTCAAAATGAAGCAGATCTTCTTGTAATTACAGGGAGAAAAGTTCTTGTTTACTGAACTTTTGAATTTTGAACATCTTTGTAGTGTTCTTTCGACAAGTTTTTTTTTAGTATTTTCCTCCTCATAATATGCAAAAAAATACTGTTAACTGCTGTTCTTCTAGACCAGAACAATTCATGAATAGTTTCAGACTGGGATCGTATGTATCAACTGTCATCCCTAATGACCTTTGCTGTCTATGGTTTCATTTCTTATGTTTATTTATTTTTTCGGCTTTTACCCCACCCATCTAGATTCATCTAATCTACTCTGGCCAGTTTACAGTCCGAGTATATAACAAAAATTAAAACAACAATATGAACAACATAGAAATAGGCAAAGTCCAAGATGGTAAGACTTAAAAACTAAGAACTAGAAGTGGGGAAGGCCTGCCTGAAGAACCAAGTCTTCAGCTTGTTCTTTAAAACTTCCAGGCGAATCTCCAGGGGCAAGGGGTTCCAGAGGCGAGGGGCCACCACCGAGAAGGCCAGTTTCTAGTTCTCTCCTTCTGGGCCTCTCTTGGGACCAATCCCCTCAGCCACCCAGCCTGGCTAAACTGAGTGACACGAGTAGAGCTAGGTGGGGAAGAGGCCTAGTCAACTCTATGGATTCTGCCCCCACAAGGCAGGGCAGCCTCAGCAGAGCCTTGTTCCATCCCATGTTCAGGAACCAACTATGGTGGCAACTGAATCTTTCCCCCAAAAGTTTAGGGGAGTAGCGTCTACCACAATTTCTGAAGTTAGTAAGTTAGTTTTGGGGTACTTGACTCAACAATTTTCACCTCCACCTTTCTGCCACCCAGCATGGGCTGTCCAATTTCACTCTCTACAATGGCATGGCTAGCTTTATATGTAGGGTACCTCTTTAGCTGTTCCTGCTGATTATACTGCTACTCCCTCCTTAAACAATGTCATGTGTGCTCATCTACATTCAGCAAAGCTAATTTCATAATAGAACAACAGTAATAGCAACAACCATTCTTTTGAAGACCAGTGCAGAGCAGCTAAACGTTTAGTAAAAGCTATTTTGGTAACAGGTTAAAAGGAGCCAGCATATTACAGCAGTTTTGACAAAGCTATTTAGGTCACTATGATCCTATATATGTCTACTCAGAAGTAAGCTCCAGTGAGTTCATCAAGTTTTACTCTCTGGTCTGAACAGTATTCAAGATTTTAGAGAACAGCTTGAGAATGTTCCTTTAAATATGTGAAATCAAAATACAACAAGGAATATAATACCGATTGTTGTCCAAGTGGAGGGCATGTGATCTGCCAGCAATATTGGGGGAAATGTTAATAATCATACTTTCAGCCAAAGAACAAAGTGATATTCTCCATTTTGGCCATTGGAGAGTCAATGGTAGTTAGTCAGCATTAATTAATTGGGCCATATGTTGAAAGGATTAGGATGTCCTCATTTCTTCTTGACATGTCTCGGAGCATAAAGTGACAACAACTAAAATTAGTCAGATGTCATTTCCAATGATTCTGGGCGAAGCATTTGAACTACTATCTGTGGTTCATCAGGCAGATATATGAGGCATGCCACATGGATGGAATTTAATATACAGTAAAAGAATTCAGTCCCTCCCATCTCATACATTGCTTAAGAAGGAGAAGAATGAATTACAATTTATTCTGAGTCCCGACTGGTTAAGAGCCATGTTCAAAATGCAGATAATATTTTAAATGAGGCTAAGAGAAAAACACCCTTCTCGGGCTGCCCAGTTAGAGTGTGTGGTTCCTCAGAACTCTGATAGCATTTGCACCTACGTAGGCTTCTCCAGTCAAAATCTGCAATCCAACTCAAAATGTACTGGTTGCAACAGATTTGGAAGGGACAGAAACCCATTATGCCAGCACAGCTGTCTTTGGGCTGACATAATTGTCCATGTGCTGGCAGCCATTCTCAACTTTTTTTTTGCTGTAGCCATAAACACAATATAAAAGGAATGTGGGCTGAATCAGATTGTATAAGTTGCATAACAAACTTTATAAGGTGGTGTGTGTAGAACTGTTTCCAGTCTGTGGCCTCCTTCAGATTGATCTTTTATTACTGTTACAAAAATAAATAAGGATTACTCACCTTTTTTGGTTGGTGGGGGTGGATTTCTGTGCAATTATCACCCACCTCTCTGACTGTGTTTCTCTACTTTTCCACCCCCAATATTAGCTGTCTCCCATCCCTGGCAACTTTTAGATTTCTGCAAGTTTCTTCATCAAGCTGGTTCCATTCTTTCTCAAAATACATCCCTCCCCCAACCATAATTGCTGTCTTAAACTATTGATGTTTCTTCCCTTGATTTTGCCTCCTACATGCAGGGTGGCCTCTGCCTAAATGGGAAGCCTGGGGGGCTGAGTTACAAGCAGCGTTGCCTAATGGTGAAGGGGAGGGGAGAGAGAGAGAGGGAACAGTTGATGTGATTTCTGTGTCATCTTATCCAACCCATCCACAATGTTTCCTCCGCAGCCAGGCTCCTTTCTTTTCCTTTCCTGCACATTTTAACACCCTTGAAGTCTGAGCATTTGGAGGGAGGGATGGGGAAAAACTATTATTTTGGCCTCCAGCTTTCAGAAAGCTTTCCAGCTGCCTGACCAATGGCCATACTGGCTGGAATAGTCTGTGAAACGTAATTCCCCCATAAGTGTCATTTTGCATCCCTAGGTTTGGAGTGCCTTGAGAACAAGCACAGGCCGCAGCAGGAAGGAGAGGACACAAGAACAAAAAAGATTGGTTCCCACCACTAGCTCTGACTCCCTTCTAGAGCAGCTTCACAAAGGCTGCCTGGTCATGTCAATTCCTGTACACTTCTTTAACCAGAGGGAGGAAATGGGTACCTTTCTAGATATTGTCCAAGAGCAAACTCCCATCAGCCCTAGCTGGCATTGCTAGTGGTGATGAGTGATGGGTGTTGTAGTGTAATAGCATCTGGAGAGATTGGGGATAGTGAGATATGCAGAACCAAAGGCATGCTTTCTCTGAGTGAAAGGAAAGACTGGCCCTCCTGAGAATCACTTTTTCATTCCAGTGGTGCTCAGGCATGGGAAAACTGGCTTTTAATGGTACCCAAAATATGCTGCCCCTCAATGAAGACACCTTTCTAATTTATAAGACCATACACGTTTTCTAATTTATAAAACCATACATCCCACACTGCTGAAGGATAGGCAAATATTCACCAGGAGATGAGCTTCAGGCAGCTGCAGCACAAACAGCCCTCTTTCTCACTATCATCACAGCAACCTTGTAAGGGAGATACAAAGCAAAATGTGTAGCTACTGTTTGAGCTAATTGTTTTGTGCAGAAAAAGCTTCTCCATGTGATTAGCCAATGATTGAAGCCATCCATGGTTTAAAAGAAACAGAGATATGACAGTAAAATATGTATGGGTAAATGTAACTTTGGGCAAAGAGTGCATAGAAATCAGGTAACTGACAGCAGTGAATGAGGATGGGAATTTTGGGAACTGTAGTCCATGAAAGACCCATTCAAAGCTCATCTCTTTCTCCTTCCATCTAACACACACACACACACACACACACACACACACACATCCATCTAACACACACACACACACACACACACACACACACACACACACACACACACACACACACAATTGTTGCTGCTGCTCACCTGTTTGTTCTTCTTTCTCTTCACTAATAGTTAGAGGTGGCTCCTCCATTTCCATATCATCACTGGTGTTGCAACCTCACAGTCCTCTGCTGTTCTATAGTGAAGGAGAAAATGTAGAAGAAAGGAAGTGAAGGGGAGTGGTGAGTACTGGTGGGTATTCATAAATATAGTGAGGGATGTATGAAATTATGCATGGTCTGAAGAAAATGTTTTCTTTAATTTTACGACATCCTGATGTCATCCAGTGAACCTGAGCTATGGTAGATTCAGGAAATACAAAAGGAAGACCTTTCTCACAAAGTACATGATAGAGTATTGTGGAATTCATGGCCAGAATACATGCTGATAGACACTACATTGATTTAAAGTGGGATTAGACAAAAGCCTTGTTCAGGTGTATCGCAATAACCTATGTAGGGCTGAAGAGATGAAAGGAACAAGGGCTTGCACATGGACCGCACCACCATGTCCCCGCCCCACTCAGAAGCCTCACAGACCTTCACATGTTTAGCATGAACATCTGCAACAGAACCTCTAAGTTGATGGATTCTGATCATTATAGTAAGCAGGGCGCTTCCCCATCTGAGGCTATCCCAAGCCAGTTCACTTCTCAAATGCAGATGTATGTCTACAGGTGTCTCCCAGTCCCACACTGACTCAGTGGAGATCAAAGAAGCATTCAGTTGACAGTTGCTCTGGATGCCAAAGGCTTTTCCATTGACATCTTCCGTTCCCACTGTTGGCAATCACTATCACTTCCTGCCTTGAGATCAACAATTACACAAGTTAGTTGGACATTAATCTTATTATCTCATAATGTTTTGTTCTTGTTTTGCTTTCCTATTTGGAATATTCTCCAGGCAGGGCTTGGACGTTTCTTGCATCTTTTGCTTGCAAGGGACATTAATAATAAAGGTTTGTTTATTTTTCTGTTGCTATAGCCTGCAGTGAGTATACATGGTGGGTAACTTTCATTGAGCAGCTGTAGATTTGCTACCAGAGATTGACCAGAAAATCTCCCCACCCCCTGATCCTGTAAGTGGTAGCTACTCGCTAGGAGAGTATAACCAACTCTGAAAGAGAGGATTGCATTTGCCAAAGAGCTTGAGTGGATCTGGACAGGCAGGAGTAGGATAACTTTTTAAAGGGAAGTCATTATTCTGCCATTGTATGTGTGTCAGAAGCCACATTGTGTGAGTAGTGCATGCACACGCACACGTGTGCGCGCGCGCACATGCACGCACACACACACACACACACACACACACACACAGACACACACACACACACACACACCTTTTTACATTCTTTTCTTTTTTGGGAAGCTGAGAAATAACTTTCCTTCTTGGCTAAGTCTTCTTTCATTGGTTTCTTTCCAAATTGCAGTGAAAATGTTACCGAGAAGTTTGCAGTCCTATAATACATGCTTCCCTGTTCCTTTTTCCCCCTGGTTATTTATTTATTTAAAATAGTTTTACCCTGCCTTTCTCCTTAAAAGGACATCTCCTTTTGGTGTTCCTGGAATTTGGTGCACTGTGAATACACGTGGGCCTTCCTTTTTATCTAGATGTAAAGCTATGTCTGTGAAAGACTGCCAGTGTACAAAATGCACTGGCCAGTGAATCATGTAGTGATTCAGGCCCTGAAGCTAAATATTAACAGTTCTTTAAGCACATAATCATACCACAAAATCTGCTTCTTGTGTGCTATGGATGTAAATACTTCATTATCCTATCCTCACAGAGGAGGACAAGGTATTGATATGTTCTTCTCCTTGCTGGCTATGAATGCAAGGAATTTGTATATGTTCTCTCACATTTGTGAAAATGATATCTTGTACAGAATTGTGCTGTGAAACTTAGATTCATGTCCTTTCTCCTTGAGAACCAAGAGACCTTCAACCTCTTCCATTCCCATTCTGGCAGGCACAGAATGACTGATCATTAAGAAATACCAATGAAGTCATCCTTGTTTGATATTCTTCAATACACCCTTCCTATTCCGTTTCAGTCTGCCTCCCAAGGGAAGGAGCTGGTGCTTGGCTGCTTGCCTTTCCGACCTCAAATTGAGCAAGACACCTTTCATTCCAGCTGTTACACAGCTGATGTCTTAATTCCCAGCCACCTGGACCCAGAAGCCAGATGCCCACACTAGCAATGCCTTACAGCTTTATTTATTTTGCCTACAATGATGTGGAGGACAGGAAAGGGTGAGGAGGAGGAATGGCAACTTGATTCTTGGGTCCCTCAACTCTTTCTTTCCTCTTGCAAATTAATTGTAAAATCCACTGGCCACGAAAGAGGGTGAGAGCCAGTTGCATGAGAAGTTGAGGATTTTTGCACTCAGGAAAAGAAGGAAGGTCAGCAACTGCTGATGCTTACGTTGAGTTCTGAATTTTTTTTCTCCTTGATTCCAAAAATCCAGCAAGAACTTCCTTTCCTGTTCCTCCATGAGAAAGGTTTATTTTCATGAGGGTTGTAGGTGACTAGCCCTTATCTCCCTAAACTCAAGGGCATTTGGTGGTCTTATCTGAGGCTCTGCATGCAGGAGATGGTGCTAGAATCCATCTCCTGCTGTTGCAGCTGGTTATCACAGACTACTATTTCTTTTTTTATCTCTGGGAATGTAGTCATTGGCCACCTTAGTAAACATCAAGACACTAAAGGAGGTGACAGCTGGTTCTTAGAGTAGCAGTTTGGAACCTTACTTCCTCTTGGAAATTAATTTCAGTAGCTACTGTGTACTGTACCAGGCATGAAAGGTGATGACAATCAATTGTCGGGATCGGAGTTTGGATTCTTGGCACCCATTCTTGCAGGCTTCCATACATCTAGGAGAGAAAACTCAGAATTCCACACAGAGAGCAATGGCTGCTGATCTTCCTTCTCATCCTGAGTGCAAATAATCCAAACACGTACTCTTGCAATATCTGTTACTTCCTTTTGCTTGGTGAAGTGGGTGGTGAGTTCCATAATTAGTGTGCCAGAAGAAAGAAAGAGCTGCGAGTCCCATGGGTTCCTCTGTCACCCTTACAAATGGCTGTCAACCTCCTCAAATCTTTCTCCCCCCATCAAGCACCAAAGGGGATGGCAACCTGTATCAAAAACAGTTGTTTGGAATCTTTATAACAGCTCTTGTTTCCACAGCCAGGTGGGAATGCTGGCAGTCTTATCCTTTCTTATGAGTGTATGGTCAGCAGTTAACCAAAATATGTATATCTGAAATTGGAAAAATAAAACCAAGTTTTAAAGCACTTCATGCAGTGTTCTGTATAGGCTAGCAACTTGGTTCTCCAACCAAGGTGGCTGGCATTTGTTCTTCCACAGGATCACTATGATTGATCAGCCCGTGTAGAGCTGCACTTGGAAGAGAAAAATCAACTTACCCCCAGCCTTGTATGCATGCAGACCTCTTTGGATCCTAATCTCTGTGTATTTTGGATATTCACACGATTGCTCTATTAGCATCAGTGGTTCAGTCATATTTTCAGTAATTATTGGAACATATGTACTATATGGAATAAGCATATTGGATTCATTTATCATGATTGTTTTCTGTGCTTCTATTATAGGTAAAGGTAAAGGTTCCCCTTGACAATTGAGTCCAGTTGTGTCCGACTCTAGCGGCCGGTGCTCATCCCTGTTTGTAAGCCGAAGAGCAGGCATTTGTCTGTAGACACTTTCCATGGTTGTGTGGCCAGCGTTACTAGACACGGAACACCATTACCTTCCCACCAAGGTGGTACCTATTCATATACTCACATTTGCATGCTTTTGAACTGCTACGTTGGTAGGAGCTGGGACAAGCAATGGGAGTTCACCCCATCACACAGATTGGAACTACTAACCTTTTGATCGACAGCCTAGTGGTTCAGCAGTTTAACCCACAGTGCCACCTGTACCCCCTATTATACTTAATTCTATTTAACTTGGAACCATTTCAACTTGCACAGAAGGATTTAGCATGTACATGATGGTGAAGGATTGTGCCAATAAATCATTTCTGTTAGAGTTGGGAATGAACTGCTGGTTTGTAGTGGTTAATTTTTTGGCCAGACAGGGGTTTGGCACTTCCCAGCCCTGCCTCCTCCAGCAGGTGCCCACTCAGAGACAGCACCGGGGGGGAGTGTCAGGAAGTTGAGGCACTGTTTCTGAGTGTGCACCTGCCAGAGGAGGCAGGCTGGGAATGGTGGTTCAGCTGGAAAATGAATCACTGAACCATAGGTTCATGCCCATCTCTATATGCTCTGGGAACCACCAAACACCTGTTCAGCTGGAAAATGAATCACTGAACCAGAGGTTCATGCCCATCTCTGTATTCATTAAATCATACATTGGCTGAAATCCTGTTGCTTAGCTTTCAGTGCATTGCAAACTAGCAAATTAAAGTGTGTGAGCCCCCAAGAATCACAGTGAGGACCCTGTTTGCTAGCTAGGAACATCATACATTGGCTGAAATCCTGTTGCTTAGTTTTCAGTGCATTCCGAACTAGCAAATTAAAGTGTGTGAGTCCCCAAGAATCACAGTGAGGACCCTGATTGCTAGCTAGGAACAGACTGAGAGTTACAAGTGTTCTTACACTAAGCAACAGAGTTTCAACCATTAGTTTAGAAACATACATTGGCTGAAATCCTGTTGCTTAGTTTTCAGTGCATTCCGAACTAGCAAATTAAAGTGTGTGAGTCCCCAAGAATCACAGTGAGGACCCTGATTGCTAGCTAGGAACAGACTGAGAGTTACAAATGTTCTTACACTAAGCAACAGAGTTTCAATCATTAGTTTAGAAATATAAGTAAAGGTTCCCCTTGACATTTAGTCCAGTCGTGTCGGACTCTAGGGCGCGGTGCTCATCCCTGTCTCCAAGCAGTAGAGCCAGTGTTTGTCTGTAGACAGCTTCTATGGTCATATGGCCAGCGCAATTAGACACGGAACGCCGTTACCTTCCCACCATGGTGGTACCCATTTATCTACTCGTATTTACATGCTTTTGAACTGCTGGGTTGGTAGGAGCTGAGAAAAGCGACGGGAGTTCACTTTGTCACGTGGATTCGATCTTACAACTGCTGGTTTTCTGACATTGCAGCACAGAGGCTTCTGCAGTTTAACCCGCAACGCCACCACGTCCCATTAGAAATATATTTAATATCAAATCTGCAATAAAACTTATTTTCAACAGCAGCAAATAAATGTATCTACAAATAAATGTATCTACAAAGAGGCTTTCATGAAATTTTTCAAATTTACTTTCAGTGTAAATCAATCCATTAGTTATTTAGAAACACATCACAAAATGAATCACATATTTTTAAAGGAGCAACATAATCACATGGCCTATATTTGCTGAAATTCTGTGGCTTAGCACAGTTAAGTCACAACTAGAGTAGGCCTAGTGGAACTTTCAAAGGAGTTGACTCACCAGGTTGTCACTAATTCAGATGGCCTACTCTAGTCATGACTTACTGTGCTGAGCCACAGGATTTCAGCTGTTTTCTTGACTAAATAAATTTCCTAACGGCAAAGAAAAATAAGAGCAAGACAGAAATAGTACTGTATAGTGTAATATGTTTGTGCACCAATCACTTTTTTTCTTGAATTGTGTCTTTCAGAAAACACACTTGAGAATGTTTGCCTTCAGTAGCAAATATATGCCATTATGAATAATTATTTCTGGAATTCTTTAATTAGTGGGCCTGGAGTTACCATCTTTGTTCTTTGGTAATTATCATCTGAGATAGTAGTTGTATCCTTATTTATTTCTACACCACCAGCAAGATGTAAAAAGCTTAATGCTGCAGGATAATTAGCTTTTTCAGGTTATAATAAGGGAAGCAGGGAGATATTGTGGCCCTTTCCATTTCTGTTAGTCAAGTCCAAACTCAACAGCATTGTAGTTTTTACACAATGTTAGTTTTCAGATATAAGAGAGAAATTTCTTGCTTTCAGCATTGGGTGGGTAAGAAGGAAAAGACTGGTGATATTTCAAACAAACTAAAGCAGAAATATTGCTATAAATCAAATTCTAAACTCCATAGATGATACATTTATAGCTCAGCCAGAAACTGACAAAAATGTGAAAGTCATCACCACTACAACATCAAGAAAAACAATGTTAAATGAAACTGATACAGACAGTGCAAGGATTGTGGCTATTACAACAGGTTAATATTGGCCCATTCTGCATTAGTTTATAGTCTGCACAAAACTTTCCACATATTCTTCTACGTGAACATTTATATCATTTTTGTATTCAATTTTCCCTAATGTTTGGATTTTTCTGTGCATCTATTGGCTGTGCATCTATTGGCTGGAGAAATGTTTTACAAAATTCGACAATGTGCAAAAAACAATGGACAACTGCTTTTCAGTTTGCATGCTGTTTGGGAAATGCAAATAAAGGTTAGTTTACATTAAAACAGAAGTCAAATGACCTTCCCAGCTGAGAAGGTGAATCGCATAGTGGAGAGGAGAGAATTTCTCCAATCAGAGATAATTGGAGTTACCCTTTCCTTTATATGTTCCAGACTGTGAGAGGGCAGGGATACCCAGGGATGAGTGTCCAGGAGGGGCAAGAGAAAAAGGACCGCTGATAAGCTGTTAGCTTTTTCTTTCACAAATGAAAATAATTCTGCACCATGGTGGTCCTATGGTTCTGTTTCACTGGAAAAGGAAAATACAATAGACAAACCAGTGGTTTGTGCCAATCTCTAAATCGAACATGGAATGGGACAGTCTGATATAGTGTAGCTTTATAATGTATTAGAGATGCAGTGCATAATCTATGTTTTTTTTTTAAATAACCGGTTTTAGCATTTCATTTTGTTATTCTGATCATAATGATGCATTTGTTACATTTGGCATTTGTTATTTTGCAACAGCAATAACATAACTTTTTTTTATTACAACCAAGCTTATATCTAATACAAGTACAGACTGGTTCTGACAGTCTTTGGGAGGGAGTGCTGGAGGATTTGAACCAAATCGAAAAGACAGAGGTAAGTAAACATAGTAGAAAGGGTCATAATGCTCAAAATATAAATGCAGGGTGCTCACCTGGAAGGGAAATGGAAATGTATTATGTTATGATTTCTGTAATTTAGGAGAGATGAAATGCTAGAGGGCAGCAGTGGGCAAACTTTGGTCTTCTACATACTCTGGACAATGACTCTTACAGGCCCCTACCATTGGCCATTCTGGATGGGGATGATAGAGTTATAGGCCAAAACACTGGGAAAGTTAAAGGTTCCCCAGTACTAACTCAAAGTGACACTTTGCTTTGTTTTTCAAGATATGTTTCAGGTCTAAATATACATATATCCTTGTTTTCAACACAACATAATTTAGCGGAATAGATTATTTGATTAGATACAGCAGTTAACATATTTGAGTGTTTGCGTTTTTCAGCACACAGTTTTTTTAAATAAGGGCTGGACTCAATGATCCATAGGGACTCTTCCAGGTTTGCAGTTCTAAGATTAATATCTAAGATTATAATTTACACATTGTGTTAGGTAAATCCATGCATAGTGCAACTGAGGGAGATGATGGATTCTTGCAAAATCACTCATTCTCTCTGAGTCAAGCTGTCTTGACACTTTATAACAAGCTGTTGAGCAATGACTAGTCCCGCGAGATACTAGTTCCTCTCTATTCAGCACTGGTTAGGCCTCACCTTGAGTATTTTGTCCAGTTCTGGACAAGGATTAGGACAAGACAAGGAATGCTTTTCTTCATTGAGGTTTCAGCAGTTAGCGTGGAATGTCTCTGTTCAAAGCGATCATCTTTTGTCTATGCGAAACAAAGTAGAAACAGAAAGACTCATTTGATTACAAAGATTCAGACCATCTACTGTATCTGATGCTTCTGATTTTTAGAAGTTGATACAACAACACAACAGCTGTCACAGTTTTGCATACTTGCACAATCTGTTTTTGTAGGGATGAATACTTTCATCCGTAATAGGAGAAGATATATCAGTGTCTCCCAGACAAAGTGAAAATTTTCTCTTCCTTGGGCATGAGAATAAGACAAGTGAGGATTTGCACTCCAATTAGTACCTAGAGTGGATAATGGAAATTATTAGTCGCAACTAGTGTAAATCCCACTCATCTCAGATGGAACTAACATTAGATTTATTCCATTGTGACTCTCTACAGTACTAACACTGAAGTTAGCTCATTGTGTTTTTATTCAAATTAGACACTTGAAGGTGGCATTTCTTTCATATGTACTGTACCTACTTGAAAATAAGCCCCATTGAATATCCTACTACTAATGTAAAGCATCAGACAACTGTTTTTCTAAAATCATGGTTCAGCTGCAGTTCAGTTAGCAGTTCAGTATAGATAGAGTGAAACAATTCCCATCTTCAACTTTCTTTAATGTTAGACAATTGGCAGATTTTACTTCTAATTTCAGTGACTGCTAAATCACACCTGTCATGTTAAATATTCTCAAAATGTTTCGTATTCCAAAACTTCAAATTTAGCCTTTTGGGGGGAAAATGCCCCAGGTGTTTATCACAATCATTCAATTCTGCAACTGTTGCTTACATAGCCACATCTTTGCTTTTCAGATGGATGTCTTTTTATACACTGCAGATGCAAAATTTCCGGTAAGTACATTTTACAAATGTGAGCATATCTTACAAAACATGTTGCATATACCTTGCAACCTATATGATGTGTTTCAGTTTTTTAAATACTGTAGTTACTGAGACCTAGTTCTCATAACACATGCCCTAGCTATATCATACCTCATCTACCTTAATGGTCTCATTATTTGACTGCCTTTGAACAGCACTGGGAGACTTCAGCCATCCCAAAATGTGGTACTGTGTCCAAGTCGCTAAATATGAGTTACTAACACCCATATCTCTCCCCATATTTACCTGTCACTAAGATATCTGTGTGTGGGTGCAAAGGCTTTATCTATCTCCCACCACTAACAATAATACATTGTGTGGAGTTGTGGATTTTTTTCAGCTGTAGCATCTAGGTTTCCCTTAGAGGCTCAACTGGCATCATAATTTCTTTTATTTTAGGGCCCACTTAAAAACTGGCTGTTCATCCAAACTTTGGGTAATGAGAGAGATCTTGACTTTCTCTCCCCCACTTTTTTGGCCTACTCAAGTTAATTATAAAACTATTATAAAATGTTCTTAAAATGTTTTAATAACTTTAAATACAGTATTTCAATGGTATTAGATTCATTTAACCTCCAAAATCCTCTTATGTAACTTACAACATTATTGGGGAAAGGCAGCAATACAGTGGCAAATTGTTGCTAACTAGGGTCCCTGCTGTGATTCGTTTTGGGTTTTCTTGTTGTGTGTGAGTTGGGTTGCCTTATGCACAACCTGGAAGCCAAGCAGGGACACTTAAATTAGTGGCAGCTATAACTAATGGTTCCTGCTTGGATTCCAGGTTGTGTGGGAAGCCACCTGACTCAAGCACATTGAGGAATCACAGCAGGAACTCCAATTAGCAGTGAAGTGCTGCTGTGAAGATATAATTTCCCCTATGCTGCCTACAGTATGCAAAATAATTTTCACTAATGTGATGTTATTGATTGTATAGTATTGTGTGATCTACTGGTATAGGGTGGTCTACAAATACTTTAGGAATGCAAAAAAGCTACAATAGTTACCTGTTGGAAGATGGAACTTCTTGGTTGAAAAAAAAACTGTGCTGTCTTCTGATTGTAATCTGCTTTATTTCTCAAGTCAGTTCAAATTGCTTGTCATAATGTTTAAAATCCTACATGGTTTGAGACCAGGATTTCTGAAGAACTACTTTCTCCTCCTAAGCCGGTCACTTCCTTAAGATCATTAACAGAGATCCTCCTGTGCGTGTCACAATAACTGATGAAATACATCTAGCTGGAATGAGTGAGAATGCATTATCCATAGCTGTGCGAAAGCTTTGGCATGTCTTCCAAGAGAAATGTACCAGTTCAAGGAAAATGATAGGAATTGTTAAAAGATCCAGATTGTCATCATCAACATGATTAGCAATAAATCTTGACATTTTATACTTTTCAAACCTTCGGGGTTGCCCCTTTTATTGTGCCACATAATCAACATCCCTTTCCCAACCTGATATTTATGATTTATTTGGTGAGTGAAAAAGTCTCCTTTAGGGAACACTCTGCTGCTGCCGCCACCACCTCTGTTTCTGCATAGTCTGTACAGACGTGAGTGTTATATTCTTTATTTCATTACTACTAAATAACTTTCTTAAAGCTCCCCTTAAAACAAATAATGTGGTTAGTTTTATTCAGGAGCAAACAGAAGAGAGTTTATTTAGGATTACAGGTAACTAGAATAATGAGAAAGGTAATTTATCAAGTATTTAAACTGAAATATGTATTAGTCTACAGTATTCACACACACTTCCACATAAACAACTCTCCTGCATTCAAGTTCAAGAACAACTGTTCCCACAAACCATATAACACTCTCTTCTCGAGGACTCCCAACTCCTGAGTACGCAAAACAAACTCCTTGGCTGGATGACCAAATTGGAGTGAGCAGGATCAGGCTAAATAGGGTTGCTTGCTTAACAGGCAGTTGAGGTCAGACAGAGGTGTGCGGTGAACATAAGAACATAAGAGCCCTGCTGGATCAGGCCAAGGGCCCATCTAGTTCACAGTGGCCCCATCAGATGTCTCTGGGAGCACTTGAGACAACTAGATAGCTGTCTCCTGATACCCCTCCCCTGCATCTGGCATTTGGAGGTACCTTTCTGTTAAGCCTGGAGATTATACATCCCCATCATGGTTTGTAACCTGCAATGGAGGTTTCCTCCAGGAATCTGTCCAATCCCCTTTTCAAGGCATCTAGGCCACTGCATCCTGTGACAAGGAGTTCCACAGACTAACATGCTAGGTAAAGAAATGTTTTCTTTTGTTTTTTTCTCACTCCCAACACTCAATTGGAGTGGATGTCCCCTGGTTCTGGTATTGTGTGAGAGGGAAAAGAGCTTCCCTCTATCCACTTTATTCATCCCCTGCATATTTTTATACATCTCAATCATGTCCCCCCTCAGCACCTTTTCTCTAGACTAAAGAGCCCCAAATGCTGTAGCCTTTTCTCATAAGGGAGGTGCCCTAGCCCAGTCAGAATTTTAGTCACTCTCTTCTGCGCCTTTTCCAATCCCACTATGTCTTTTTTAAGGTACAGCAACAAGAACTGTACACATTACTCCAGGTGCTCTGGTCCATGGGGTCACGAAGAGTCGGACACGACTAAACGACTAAACAACAAACAACAACGAAGTGTGAAATTGGCCTTCTTCACTGCTGCCGCACACTGATTTGACACTTTCATCATGCTGTCTACCAGCATACCGAGATCTCTTTCCTGATGCATCATGGACCGTTCACACCACATTAATTGATAACTAAAGTTTTGATTTTTTTGCCACAAAGTGCATTCCTTTACATTTTCTTATATCGAAACGCATTTGCCATTTTGCTACCTATTTTCCCAGTTTGGAGAAATGCTTCTGGAGCTCTTCATAATCCTTTCTGGCGTTCACCACCCAGAAAAGTTTTGTGTCATCTGCAAACGTGGCCACGTCACTGCTTATCCCTGTCTCCAGATAATTTATGAATACAGTTGTGCCTCGCTTTATAATTGCCCTGCAATTGCGATCGCAAAACAATGGTCTAAATGGGGTTTTTTCACTTTGTGATGATCAGTTCCTGCTTCGGGAACCAATTCTTTGCAAAACAATGATTTTAAAACAGCTGATCGGCAGTTTCAAAATGGCCACCGGATAAACAAAATGGCTCCCTGCTGTTTTCTGGGATGGATTCCTCGCGAGACAGGCAGCGAAAATGGCTGCCCTATGGAGGATCTTCGCTGGACGGTGAGTTTTGACCCCATTGGAATGCATTGAAGGGGTTTCAATGCGTTTCAATGGATTTTTTTCCGCTTTACAATGTTTTCGCTTTTTTTCCGCTTTACAATGTTTTTGCTTAACGGCGATTGTCTTGGAACGGATTATCACTGTTAAGCGAGGCACCACTGTAGGTTGAAAAACACTGGTCCCAGGACAGATCCCTGGGGCACACTGTTTTTGCCTCTCTCCATTGTGAAAATCACCCATTGACACCTACTCTCTGTTTCCTGGTTCTCAATCCATAGGAGGACCTGCCCTCTTATCCCCTGACTGTGGAGTTTTCTGAGCCACCTTTGGTGAGGGACTGTGTCAAACGCCTTTTGAAAATCTAGATAGACAATATCCATTGGTTCACCTGCATCCACATGCCTATTGACTTTCTCAAAGAATTATAAAAGATTTGTGAAGTAAGACTTACCCTTACAGAAGCCATGCTGATTTTCCCTCAGCAAGGCTTGTTCCTCTATGTGTTTTAAGATTTTATCTTGGATAAGGCTTTCCACAATGTTCTCTGGAACTAGGCTTGTTCCTCTATGTGTTTTGTTTCCCAGGTCCCCCCTCCTTCCCTTTTTAAAGATTGGCATGACATGTGCTATCCTTCAGTCCTCTGGCACTGTGCCGTTTTAAGAGACTTGTATATTTTAATTTCATTCCTCAGTTCCTTAATAACTCTTGGGTGAATGCCATCTGGGCCCGGTGACTTACTGATCTTCAATTTATTGATTCGGTCTAAAACATCCTCTCTTTTAACCTGTATCTGATGTAATTCATTAGTCTGGGGGGGGGGCATTCAGGCAGTGGAATCTGCCCAAAGTCTTCTGTCGTGAAGACAGATGCAAAGAACTCATTTAATTTCTCTGCAATCTCCAAGTCCCCCTTTGCCCTCTCTCTCCCTCACCATCCAGAGGGCCAGCTGCTTCTCTGGCAGGTTTCCTGCTTCTAACATATTTAAAGAAGCTTTTATTATTCCCCTTTATATTGCTGGCCATACTTTCCTCAAAGTCTTTCTTTTTCTTCCGTATCATCTTCTTACATTTCTTTTGCCAGAGTTTGTGTTCCTTTTTATTTTCCTCATTTGGGAAGTATTTCCATTTATGGAAGGACCCCTCCTTGCCCTTCAAAGTCTCTTGAACTCTGCTTGTTAACCATGCCGGCACCCTCTTGGATTTAGGTGAGCCCTTCTTTCTTTGCGGTATACACTTCTGCTGGGCCTCTACTACCGTTGTTTTAAACAGGCTCCATGCACTCTGGAGATATTAGGTTCTTTTTACATTCCCTTTCAACTTCTTTCTAACTAGTTTCCTCATCTGAGGGAAGTCCGTCCTTCAGGAATCAAGGGTTTTTGTGTCAGATTTGCTTGACACTCTCCCCCCAACATGCATGGCGAAAGAGATTGCAGCATGGTCACTATTACCTAGTGGCTCAGTGACATTCATGTCCCTAACCAGGTCCTGAGTACCACACAATATTCAATCCAGAGTCACCTATCCTCTGGTGGGCTCCATGACAAATTGCTCCAAGGCACAGTCATCCAGTATGTCAAGGAACCTGGCCTCTCTTTCTTGACCCGAGCACACATTGGCCCTGTCAATGTGAGGATAACTGAAGTCCCCCATGATTACAATCCTGTCCCTCTTGGACACCTCCCTGATTTGTCTCCTCATTTCAAGGTCCCCCTCAAGTTTCTGATCTGGAGGATGAGAGCATACCCCCACTATCACATCACTCCTTGGGCCTGGTTGTTTAACCCACAGTGATTCTATGATGGAATCAGACCTGCTGTCCATCTCCATTCTGCTGGATTCTACCCCTTCTTTGACATAGATGGCCACCTCACCTCCAACATGCCCCTCCCTATTGCTCCTATAGAGTATATAGCCTGGGACTGCTGTATCCCACTGGTTCTCTGAATTCCACCAGGTTTCCGTTATGGCCACTATATCAATGTTATCCCTAGCCACCAAATGTCCCAGCTCTCCCATCTTTGCTCAGGGGCTTCTGGCATTTGCATAAAATTACCGTACCTACATACTGGTTCCCCCAAGAAGGGCTGCATGTTTGTTCCTTTTTTTCCACAGCTTCTCCTTCCAGTGGACCAACTATCACATCCCATCACACTCCCAGTCCTAATTCCTACACTGCCATCACAGTTCTCTACCCTCTCCACCCTCATTCCACAGGGATGAGGAGTCCCAAACTGGACGCTGCTTGGCTCCTGTCAGCTTTCCCCCGTGCTTCAGTTTGGAAGCTGCTCTGCCACCATTTTAATGTTACGTTCCAGGAGTCTGGTTCCGTGTTCGTTCAAGCGATGTCCATTCCTCTTGTACAGGCTTGGCTTGTCCCAAAATGTTGCCCAGCGTGTAATGAATCTAAACCCCTCCCCCTGGCACCACTGTCTCATCCACACATTGAGACCCCTGAGCTCTGCCTGCCTAGCTGGCCCTATGCATGGAAACAGGTAGCACTTTTGAGAATGCTACCTTTGAGGTCCTAGCTTTGGGCTTCCTCCCTAACAACCTAAATTTGGCCTCCAGGACCTCACAGCTACATTTCCCTACCTCTTTGGTGCCAACATGCACCACCACTGCTGCCACCTCCACAGCACTCTCTACCAGCCTATCCAGAAGAGACATGATATCCGCAACATTTGTACCAGGCAGACAAGTCACCGTGCAGTCCTCACAACTGTAACAAACCCCTCGCTCTGTGTTCCTGACAATAAAATTGCTCACTACCAGAAGCCCTTTTCCCCCTCCCCCTGAGGAGTATCCTCAGTGCAACTGGATATGGGCCAATCACCTGTAGAAGGGGTCCCCTCTAGAGGATGGTTTCCCTCTTGTCCAGATTGGCATCCTCTAGCCCGGAGACTTCCAATCCCAGCAGCTGAGGAGCTGCTTGTCTGTGGGTGGGACAATGTCTGAAGGTCCTTAGAAATCTCACCACGGTCCCTCTCTCCTTGTCTCTGCTTCTCCTGGTCCGCAACCAAGACCTCAAGGGAGCAAACCCGTCCCCTGAGTTCGTGGAACTCCTTGCAATGAGGACACACCCTTGACTTTTGCTGAAGAGGCATATAGTCATACATATGACACTTGATGCAAAACACGGGATAGCCCCCAACCCACTGCTGTCTGTCTGACTACATGCTGATATTTGTTTAGAGCCTGCCAGATCTCTTCTCAAGGGAAGTGACAGGCAGAATCTGGGACCCTTCGTTGCAGGAGGCACTTGCACTAGAGTCTACTCGGTGCAAACTTTATATTCAGGTGCAAGGACCAGGTGGTTTCCAGTTAGGAAACCACACCACAACTGAAGTAGACTGGGTTGACAGTGAATATCATTTTTTCCAGCTTGTCTTATCATGGAGATATGTACTTACTAAAGGGGCCAATTTATATGTTTTCATAGAGCAAATTGCTGATCATACTTTGATTCAGGTAGGTTGACCCAAAAGGATGAGACATGTCATTTCTGAATGAGACTGTAAAGCATTCAAACAGTAAATGCACTGAAATTTTCTTTCTAGGCTAATTGTAGTGTACGTGTAAAGAAATGTTTTGTTGAGGAGATGAAAGTAATTGTATATGAGTCTCAGCTTGAAAACAATAACAAGGTTCGTGGCACCATGAGTAGAATTATCAGAATTGTCATGGAGGATTTAGAAGGCAGGCAGGTAAGTGAAACACTATGCAAACTACATGTTATGCTTGTATTGTATGCAGAAAATTTGCAAAAGCCACAATTCCTCTTGCAAGGTTGTCACACCTTTCTGATACCGATGTCACAACTCACATTGTCTTTTCACTTGACTACTGAGGTGGTGGTCTCTTTAAATCACCACAGAAATAAATATGTTTTCTTTAATAATCTTCACATTTCCTCTCTTCCTTCTTTGCTGCCACCAACCTTTAGCTGCCTCTATTGGTGTGTATTTGCCCTTATAACACCTTCCATATACCTGTCTATACTTCAGCTACTAAGTGGCTGAACTGAGCACCACTTAGTTTGAATAGAACAAATAAGGCTTTATTAATAAGTGTTAAAAGAGGGTTGTTTATTCATAAATTTTACATTCATTCAGTGCAATCTTTCACTCTTTCCATTACCTCTTCCCCACCTCATTTTCTCTCAGACTGCTCTCCCTCACTTCTCTCCACACCAGACTGCTCAAAAACCTCACCAGTACTCCGCCCCCCTACTTTCTCACAGCCAATTAGAGCCACTCTTACTGACATTCCATGTTCCTCACTCACCCCCTCCCTTGCATACTTGCCAAACCATATAAACAATACATTTAACTATAATTTGTCATCACAATATTCCTCAACAGGAGGTATCTTTTACCAGCAAATATAGAAATGGAACAGAGAACTGAACAGAGTATGCACTTATTTACAGAGCTTCTCTGATGTATTCGTTTTTCTGATTGACCATGGCATGTTCTCATGTATTCTTCAATTGTGTGCTTTTTCAGCAAGTATGTTGACATTTCATGCAAACAGAACATGCCACAGGTCTCATTAATGTGCAGATTTTTGAGGCAAGGTGTGTTTTGTCTTGCAGTAAGTCTTGGGAAATGAGCAATTAGAAATTTTGGTGAGAATTTTGAAACCATCCCAAAAAGTCCCCATCCCTAGAACTGCCTACTTTTGCTTGTAGCTTTTCTTTGAACGTTTCTTCCAAACTGCTTTGATTTCCACAAGTTATCAGACTCTTATCTGCAAATATGTGACCATAATTTTGACTTCTTGAGTGGGAGGGTTTTAGTCATTAACACATAACTGTCCTTTGAGCTATATATACTGTATGTTTATAAATTTTTGTTTGCACTGTGTGAGTGTTGTAGCATCCACCACCAGCCTCTAAGGCTTAGTTAAGTGACATAATCGTAGCCAGCAGCAGCACAGATGAATCCATATGTCTTGGCCATTTTCATACTTAAGGCCAAGGATATATAACCTCTGAACAACCTCCAGTGAGACAGTTCAGGTGCTGCATAAATCCTTTTGAGAGATTTGTTATGTCCCATCAAGTTGCATCCAACTTATGTGAAATATTTAATTTTACCATTAACACTACTCCAAGAGTATGCACTTATTCCATGACTCCTCCTAGTGGGATTCTTTTACTTAGTTTGTACTTCAAATCAGGTCTGCTGAGTCCTGGTCCAACAGTCTCTTGAGAGATTTGCATGTATAGTTTTGGAATATTGCACAAGGATATGAGGAATATTGCACAAAGATATGAGGAAATACCTCAAGATTTTGCATACATTCATGTAGAATGTGTGCCATAAGGCACCCCTTTTGAGATGCCCAAAAGAATACTCATACCAACCTAATATTTTGTTGGGAGAACTCTGAGACGTGAAGAGATTCTAAAGTGAGGAAACAGAGAATGCTGAAAAGTAGATATAGAGATGCTAGCGGCTGGTTTAGCATACAACAATAATAAATAAACTTGCTACCTTTTTCATGACACCCCAAATCTGCAACCTAAGATATTGGCTTCATTTTACCTAATACAGTACTTTAATTGGCTGCATATGCCAAGACGAGGATTTGCCATAAAATGAATAGATATATATGGCGTCTGCCCGCCCAGGTCATGAATATTAAGATGCTATCTGCATCACCCAATGTGAGTGTAGAAGAGGCAGAGTCACGAGAGTCTCTGCAGGGGGAGAAGAGAGTTAGATTGGAGATTAGAGGGATTGGGTGAACTGGGAATTTGGAGTAGAAAGAGAAGGTTGGTGGTTGAGAGTGTATGAAGAAGGATGTTTTGTTAGGAGTTAACAACATTGATTATGCCTTCATCACCTGTAATAATAAACAATTTCTATTTGGTTCTTTTTAAAATGACACATTGCCTGGACCTCTGTGATTAATAATAAATAATGTTGATGTAATCAACTAGTGGCAGCGACACAACACCTAGCTTGTGTCCTTTGATTGGTGAAACAACCAAGGGACAGGCGGGAATGTGGCAATATGTAACCCACAATTTAGGGGTTGCATATATATTCATTTTATTAATATAAAAGCTCTGCTCACAACCTGAGTTCAATACCAACAGACTCAGGTAGCCAGCTCAAGGTTGACTCAACCTTGAGCTGGCTATTTACTGCCCTTCTGAGGGCAATAAATTGAGTACCCAGCTCACTGGGGTGGGACAATGTGTAACCTGCATCATTATTTTGTAAATTGCCCAGAGATTGCTTTAAGCACCATGCGGTGGTTTAAGGAACATGTAATCAATATATTCCTATGTTTTTAAAAAGGTCAATACAACCAGTATGATTCTTTTCTGTTGCTTCCACCTCCTATAATATCTATTGTGCTGTATAAACAAAAATACCACATCAACATATGACCACATTCAACTTCTTTGGCTTAATGTCCTGTGCTGTGAAAGGGAATTCCTGTTTCTCATTACAGAGTATAGAAATGTAACAAGATGCCCACACAGAGAGAAAAAAGGGACTTCTTCCTCTATTTACAGCTGGGCAGTGCTCCCCTTTTCTCCACAGCCAAACTGTAGTTTCCAATCAAGTGAGAGCACAGTGGGTAGGTGGGTGATCACAGGAGTTGTGGTGGAAAGGTTACCCTGTCCACAGTTTTCTTCCTCTGCTGCTCAGCTGATTGGAGATGGCAGCTTTGCACCAGAGAAAGGGGAGCTTCGTGAGAGACTGGCAAAACAGAAGGGTTTTACAGTTGCTGTAAGCATTGCAGCCAATTACTGTACAATATTAAGTAAATTGAGGCCAATGTCTACAGATTTGGGGTGCCATGAAAAAAATTGCAAGTTAATTTATTATTGTTGTATTTTTACTGCTAGAGCGATAGAGAACTGTTTGTTTGTGGGGGGCATCATCCTATGTGCCCAGATAACTTGGCTGGCTTTAGGTGTTATATACCCTGAGGCTGGTTAAGGTGCCATGTGTTTCTTTACCTCAGGAAGCAACACAGACTCATCTGCCTTTAGCTAAAGTTCTTCATAGGCTGCTACTGTTGGCAACAAAATACAGTAATACCCTAATGGTGTGTTGCTGTGTTTCTCAACAGACAAGTGCATGGGCCTCATTAGGTGTCTCTCTTTTCTTTGTTTAAGTTCCACTATGCTAACTTCATTAACCATTTATTTTTGCAGAACACAGAAATATCCCAGTGCCAAAAATGTGAAACATTTGAAGAAAAAAATTATGGAGAATTTATGGAAAGCTTCAGGAAGAATGTACAAAGATGGCATAGAGAAGATACTGAAGCAAAGAGGGGTTTTAAAGAAACTTTTGTATCTTAAATGCAATTTCATGTATCAAAACTGAAGTAAATTTATATGAAGGAAATTTCCATAATGTGTGGTTAAGAGTTACTGGTATTTTAACACTCAGATCTGATTTCCATGCCACTTTAGAGTCTGGAGCAACTGTGTAACTTTTTCTCATAATCATTGTTACATGGTGCATGTACATGGCAGACATATGACCCTTGTCTTTATTTTTTTTGGGGGTACCCATTTCTTCAAATTTAGTAAGGCATGCTGCCCTACAGTGTGATTTATTGCACAGTTAGAAAAGGCTGAGATTTGTTGCATCCAAGTGATTAGAAAATGTTGAAGACTCTTCTTCAGGAAGCTAGAATGTATTGGTTTTGGCTTGATCTCTCTGCTGTAAGTGCCCAAGAAGTACTTGGGGCACACCAGTTACAATAGCCATGATGGTGCTTAAGCAGGAAGTTTTACCAGATAGAGTAGCAAAGCAGTTCTTAGAACCAGATGGTCAGAAAACAACACCACACCAGGTAACAGATCAGATCTTACCAAGTCAAGAATCAAAGCAAGGAGAAGCCAGAAGAGGAATCAGTGAAGCGAGCCAAAGGTCAGTGTTGCCCAAGTATCAATAAGACAAGAGTCAAAGAATGCAGAGAGCTGGAATCAAGCTTGGTGACATTTGCAGCACTCTTAGCAATTGGTCTGAAGGCAGACAATGCACTTCAACAGCTGCAGATGGGAGACTCTCTCTCACAGGTGCAGCAACTTGAGAAAAATTACTCGTGAGGTGTCTTCTAGCAGAATCACACAGTCTTTCTCAGTCAGGTCGTCTTATCCCCAAAGGATGACTGTACGGAGTAGGAGATAGTTTTATCGAAGGAAGGCTTGTATAAACTGTTGGCTGAAAACAGATTATATTTTCCTGTTTTCTTCTCCTAAAAAATTGGTGCGTCTTATGGAAAGGTGCGTCTTATGGAGCGAAAAATATGGTAGTTTTATCGAAGGAAGGCTTATATAAACTGTTGGCCAGAATCCTGCTCAAGATTTATATATACAAAATTACAAATGCATAAGGTGTTGATTATGCACCTGTAGTATTTTCCTCAATTGGAGCTCTGTACATGTAATCATCATTATCTTGGACCTGTAGAGCTGGAAGACACCCTATGAATCATCGAGTCCAGCCACTGTCAAGGAACCACCCAACCTTTAGTTCCGCAGCCAGATACAAGAGACCCTATGAATCATTGAGTCCAGCCACTGTCAAGGAACCACAGTGGGGAACTGAACACCCAACCTTTGGCAGCCAGATACCTAAATCACTGAGCTACCCAATATGTAAATACTGAACAGGATATTGGCCACAGAAATATTGGCCACAGAGCTCAGTTTCATGGTTACTAATCTTTTATTTCTGCAGTTTTTATATGTATACTTATGCAACAAAACATTAGAGAGGATAATTTAAAAATTCATTTAAATTCCTCATACGAAAAATATACTTCTCGAAAGACTCTGAGTATATCCTTCACATATAAATATAGAAAAAGATTTTTGTTTGTTTTAAATATGGGCTGTAAATATTCCTCTTAGGGATGCTAGGCCTTATGGTGTGTATAAAGAGGTGAGGACTCAGTAACGTATGGTGGGACAAACCTTTTGAGTTGTATCAAATGGATGCAACTCAGCTATACCTGGAGGTGTTCATCAGCCCTAACATAGAGTTAAGATATTTAATTTCAGTGGTTATGCAGCTTGAAATGTGCAGGTGCTGAGCAGAGTAATCACCACTGTGGCCTCTATTTATTACGCAGTGTTATTGATGTTAAATGCAAGTAGCTCTCCTGTAGCAAAGAATATGCTTGCATTTTCCTCTCCTTTATTTATACTTGCACTGTCATCTCCAGCCTTTCAGCAATCAAACTGTAAACTGCTGTGACTGCAGATGATGGGGACATAAACTTTTCACCCTCTTCAGTGACTTCAACCAAACGATAACAACTGCAGCTGTTGATAACTTCTGAAAGTGGAGCACTAGAAATGTGTACACATAGTTTGACTCACTTCATGTTTTCAGCCCATCGTGATGTCACAAGGCTTCGGCTGCTGAACTATTTTAGCTCAAGAAATTTAGTCAACAAAGCAAAACAGAAGCTTATTCTAGACCACTGGGCTGTATTTATCCTGTAAAAATCTTCAGTGGTCTCACTGGTGATCTAGCACAGTGGTCCCTAACCTTTTTTGGTCTGCGGACTGGCTGGGGAAAGCGGGGCACCCCCGTGCTCATGCGCATGCGCATGTGCGATGGCAGTGCTGCTGTTTGTGCATGTGTAGGAGCATGCGCCCCCAGCACGAGCGGCACACTGCCATTCACAGCCTTTGTGGGGGTGAGTGCATGCACGGGATGGGGTGGGAGGTCTGTCTTTGCGGCCCCGTCGGGCTGAAGCCAGGGACATGCGCAGGGCCGTGGACTGGAGGTTGACGACCTCTGGTCTAGATGGGCAGGGTATTAATCTAATTAAACAAACAAACAAACAAACAAACAAACAAATAATCAGAACCACAATCAGCTCCAGGTCATGTTTTTGCTGACTGTATAGAGCTTCTCCATCTTTGGTTGCAGAGAATATAATCAATCTGATTTCAGTATTGCCCATCTGGTGATGTCCATGTGTAGAGTCGCCTCTTGTGTTGTTGGAAAAGAGTGTTTGTGATGACCAGCTTGTTCTCTTGACAAAATTCTATTAGCTTTTGCCCGGCTTCATTTTGAACTCCAAGGCCAAACTAACTTGCTTTTCCTTTTATCTCTTGACTCCCTACTTTAGCATTCTAGTCCCCTATAATAAGAAGAACATCTTTCTTTGGTGTCCGTTCTAGAAGATGTTGTAAGTCTTCATAGAATTGGTCAATTTCAGCCTCTTCAGCATCGGTGGTTGGTGCATAAACATGGAGTAGCGCCTTACCATATTATATTGGCACAGCACTAACTTGTGGTAGGTTAAATCAAGAGGCAAACATGCTCTCTCTATGAGGGTTCACCATGCAGTCGAGAAATCTGGAAAACCAGGTTTCCTGCTCCCCTGGAGGTAACTCCATGTGTAGAGATGGCTGTCCTCTTTGGTTAGAACTCCTGGGTTAACTCTTCTATTGGATGCCCGAATAGAGCTGATATTTATCCATGACAAACCATGGATCAACAAGGATTTTGAAGAGATGGCAATGATACCTATATTAGGAAGCAAACTTCCAAATACAGACATTTTTTTTTTAGTTTGTCAAGACTATCATAGAGATTAGTAATGATGCTTTATTATCAAGAACTGACAAATATATGAAAAAGATTTTCATATGTAGTACTTTATTTTCCCATTACAATACATTAGGAACATGGTAGCATCCATTGTTGAGTGGTACAGCTTACCAGCAGATGGTGCTTTGGGTTGGCATTCAGAAAGATGTCTACAGTGCAATTATAACATGTTTATTCAAATGTAAGCAAGCAAAATAAAACCCAAACCAAAAAACAAGTTTCAAGAAAAACAATCTATGCAGAAACCGGGATTCTCTCAAACCTAATAAAAAGGAACTGCAAACAAAAAAAGATATTCCAACTAGACATGGGTATGAATAAAAAAATGAATTGCGATATTTGTTTAAAAATTCCTGATTCAGTAAATATTCATCCCTTAGTATTTGTGAGTTCCACAGACCCTGACAAATACAAAGGGATAAATATTTGTCCATTTTTATTCATCTCCATACGAAGAAAGGAAAGGCTAGCCTATGGCCTTCCCATTCTGCCTATGGGCCCCCTGATTAGCTGATCGGTGGGCCGACAGGCAGCCAGCCAGCCCCACAGCCACCTACCCCCACAGCCTATCCCCCACCCACCTCCCCTCCCTACCTTAGCTGCTGTCCAAAATGTATCATTTCCTAGCACTGCCAGGCACATGTGTAAAAATTTCAAAACTTCCCATTGAAACCCACATTTTACAAATGCTGTGACTTGTTTCTCTTTTTGTACAAACTTTCTGTCAAGGTCATTGCTGTGCCAGTGGATACTGGAGTCATGAGCACTGTCAAACTGAAGGTATCATTTTAAAGGAATCGTAATGGCCTCATAGTGACTCTCTTGCATTTTAAGCAGCTTGGACATCTGTTTGATAGCCAATAGTAGCTGATAAAGAACTTCACATTTTTATGGTCACACCTGGATTAATACTTTGCGAAAATATTATCTCCTTGCAAATGGAAAGATAAGTGAGACAATCATTCTGTAATATTCTCCTGAAACGTAGGCATGGCCTTGCTGAGCTGTGAATAGTCTCTTATCGGTACTTGGTGACCAATGTGGCAAATTACATAAACGTGACTGCTGTAGAGCCGGAGAGTTTGTCCATTAAATCAGAGGTCTGATCATTTCAGGAACAAAGGACAAACATGAAATTTGTTACAACTTCAGTTCCTCCAAACTTGACCAGAGGTTAAATTATTAGATGTTAGTCAGCTAATAATATTTTTTTTCATTTCTGAGAAGATAATCAGTTTGCAGACTTGACAAAAATTCTGAAGAGGAAATGGTTATTCATTCTTCTTTCTGTTATATTTAGCGGGAGAAATGGGGACGACTCACCACTTTGGCGAGTCGTCTTACTTTGTGAGTCATCAAAAGTTGTTGACGAAGCTGCCCCCATGAACTCACAAAGCACAAATTTATTTGTCCATTCATAGAGGGTTACTAAAAAAAAACCTGCCTCTTTTTTTATTCTCCAGAAAACAAACAATATATCAAAGTAGTGACAAATATGCCTCATAGTAGCATGACAACAGTTTCGCAGTATGTATTGCTGAATATCATTTACAATTTTAAATGTTTCTTCGATTAGCCATCTTGGTTTTTCTTTTCTTTTCACTACAGGAGTTGCATTTTTGAATTCTTCGTTAAGAATATCTCATTTCAATTCACAGTTCTTCTGGAATGAATACTTTATTACGGTCAAAGACCAGTAAAATAGATACATATAATTATAGTTTGGTAAAGTCAGTCAGGGTAATAAAATTTCATTAAA